GCCGCGGCTGCGCGCCGCCAGCCGGAACACGTAGGTGGCGCCCTTGTGCACGCCCGCCGCCGTGTAGTGGTCCTCGGAGGCCGCGAACTCCAGCGTGGCCAGCGGCGCGGCGTCCTCGCGGCCGAACTGCAGGCGGTAGCCCAGCACTTGGTCCTCGGCAGGGACGCCCGCCGGGGGCTCCCAGCGCGCCAGGAGGCTGCCCTCCGGGGTCTGCTGCACCGTGAGGGTGGGGCGGCCCAGCACTGCGGGACAGGGGCGGGGTCAGGGGTCAGGGGTCAGGGCCGCGGCCACCCCCAGCTGCACCCCCAGCCCTTTTTTCTCTTTTTGAGACAGGATTTTGCTGTTGCTCGCGCTGGCCTCAAGCAGTCCCCCTGCCTCAGCCGCCCGAGGAGTAGAACCGTAAGCAGGGACTAGGGGCTGCCGTGTCTTCCACGGGACTGGGGACGGAACCCGGGGATGGGCTGCGCAGGCTGGCCCTGAACTCAGCATCCTCAGGCCTCAGCCTCTGAACCTGCGTCTCAGAAAGAACCAGGAGGGGTGCTGGGGCGACAGCGTCCCTGGGGTGGGGCCACACTGGGCGTGCACAGGACCAGGGGAGGGGGCGTTTTGCTGCTTCTCTGCCTCCTGGCTCTGCTGCTGATCCATAGGGGGCTCAGGGGCGCCCCAAGCTGTGCCTGCTCTGTGGCTCAGAGCCTCCTGTGCAGTGACGGGAAGGCCAGCCCCACCAGCACAGCCCCGAGTTTCCAAAGCAGGTCACATCAGGGCCTTGAAAGGGCTGTAGCTGAGACACGGGCAGGGCGGGGAGACAGCTGGCCAGGAAAGCGGCCCTGGAAGAGGGGACAGCCCTAGTGAAGTCTGTAACGGACAGTGTTACAAGGGTTTCTGTCTCGTGGAGGCTGAGAAAGGAAAGACAAGGGTGATACAGGATGTTGGGGGACCCTGTTGGGCCCTTCGGAGTAGCCCGCATACCTGTGGGCTCACTAGTGCCCTGCCTGTCCACTGTCTCCCCACACAGCCTCAAGGTCTCTGGAGGGACCTGTGGTCCTTGTGGGGCCAAAGTGGCTGCAGGTAGTGAGCAGTTTCATACCTGCTCCCTTGGTCACCACCACCTTGGGTTTGCTGCGAGCACCGTCACCTTTCATGGTATAGGCAGCTACTGTGATGGAGTATGCGGTCTCGGGCTCAAGGTTTGTGATGACCATTTCCTGTGGGCCAGGGTGAGGGTCAGTGCGGGGCGGGGCCAGTCCTGCCCACCCGTTCCCCACGATGAGGTCAAGCAGGGAGGGCACAGGGGCCAGCACACGAGCACATGCAGAAACCACAGTACACACCATGCTCGCGGCCACACGCAGCCTGTGCCAACACTCCCCAGTCGGTCCTCACCGCAGCCACCAGAGGGCGCTGTGAGTACCAAGTCCAGTCCCTTGGCCCTGCATGGTGCCCACCTCCCACAGGGCCTGCAAGGCCACCCATTCCTCTCCCCTCCACCCCTTCCTCTCTGCTCCCCCACTCCCTCTGCTCCAGCCACACGGCTTCCTTCCTCCTGCACCACACTGGGCTTCATCCTGCCCCAGGGCCTTTGCACGGCTGTGCCCTCTGCTTCTACCCTCTCTAGTGTGTTGCAGATGCCATTTCCCAACTCACAAGAGCCATGCCCTACATTTCCAGGGATTTTGCAAGCCAGATACGAAACGTAACTCTTACTAAAGATTCAACTGTGTACACTTACTTGTGTTAAACAAAGGCTGTCAGCACCCCCCTTATCTCACTGTACTCACTACTCCTCCCTCCGAGGGCTTTCTCCTCTGCTGTCTATGTGGGCTGCAGACAGAGCTGAGCTGTTGTGTGCAGCTCACAGCGGGAGAGTCGCACCTTGAAAACTGGGCAATGCTGCAAATGCAGACTAGCCCCTCCCGCCCGGACAGAGAGCCCTTCTGGTAGTTGTTTTTCGGTGTTTTTTTTCTCCTGGGGATTGAACCCAGACCTTCTACACTGAGCGTCAACCCCAGCCCTTTTCCTTTTTCTGCAACAGACTCTCACTAAGTCACTATGCTGCCCAGGCTGGGTGCGAATTTGGGATCTTTCTGCCTCAGCCTCTCAGAGTGCTGGGATGACACGACAGGCGTGCACCACCAGACAACAGAGTTTTGAACGTTTCCACCAGTCTCATCCTGTCCCCCCACCGTTGTAACCGCCTATGTGTCTGTGTGCCCTGACTGTGACCCCCAGGACAGAGGGACCCAGGTTAGTCACTGTCACCCCCCTCCTCAGTACCCAGCATAGGGTTTTGTATACAGCTGGTACTCAGTAAGCGCTCGTGTGATCCGGCCCTGCACGCACACCGTCCCCGTGTCCCCAGGTCTAGAGCATGCACACGCACAGCATGCCGGGAGACAGGGCTTGGTTGGGCACAGGGCGGGGGGAGGGGGTACAAGAGCAGAGGGTCTCCAGCCCGAGCCCTGCATCGCCCCTCCCGGGCTCCTGGGTGCCGCTGAGCCAGGCCAGGTGGGCACTCGCCCTCAACTCAGGGCGGGGACAAAGACAGGGCAGCAGCGACGCTAATTTAGCATCAGACTTGGGTCTCTCCTCGGAGAAGAGGCCAGAGACAGGCAGAGATTTGGCCCGGGTCACACGGCAACCCTGCTCTAGCCTGAGCGCCTCAGAGCGTTGGGAGGTGACGGGGGTTACTGCAGGGGCATCTTCTCCACTGTGGACCCTCCCATCTCTACAGGGCTGGAACTCGGGGCACAGCCTGGGAAGCGAGGTTTTCGGGCCTGGGTGGGTCAGAGCAGCGATAAAACCAGGCGCGGTGTCCTCCTTCCCAGGTGGACACGCTGGGTCCCCGCGCGCTCAGGACGCCCCGGGAAGGGCACAGGGGCGGAGACCCTTTGCCTGGGCGTGCGGAAGTCACACCACGGCACGGCCCGCGGGAGAGGACCAGGACCAGGCCCAGGCCCCGGCCCCGGTGCGGGGCGCTACTCACATATTCGGCAGTGTCGTCCATCTCCCACTGAGCGGGAGGGCGGCGGGGAGAGAGGAGGGAGGTGAGCGAAGAGGCGAGC